GGGGAGGGCAGCTCCAATGGGCCGGGCAGGGCTGGGCAGAAGACCAGCCGGCAGCTCTGGGAACACAGGCCCATTCTTCCTTACCCAAGGCCTAATGCAGCTTGCTGTGTGGGGACGGAATTCAGTGCAGGTCACCTGTGTGGAGCCTAGAGTGCCCCAAGGCAGGGCCTCCTCCAAGGGGTCTGTGTGTGGTGGGGGTCAGGACCAGGCGTGGGCATCTAGTCCCTGGAGAGGGGGGATTTGCAGCAAAGGGGCCCTGCAACCAGGGGCTCGGGGGGAGGTGGCAGCTTGCATAGGGCAGGTCTCTTGTGTTGGCAGGACCCCTGGACTGGGCTATAGAAGCCTTTGGGGGAGGACAGAGAAACCCCCAAGACATCGTTCCCAAATATAGCTGGCAGAGCATCTGTCTGCTGCATGCTGGACGCCCTCGAGGGCAGCTTGGCCGGAGACACTCAGAATGTCATGTCCCCACAAGGAAGAAGAGTGAGGACAGCCCTTAATTTGGACCCTGTCTCCCCTTTCCTCTAAGCTTGCAGATGCCAGGCAGCACGCTTTGCTCTTCCCATGGCTGACTCTTACTGCAAGTCATGATCTGCTGTAGACGTCACCATTCAAAGAGGTCCCCACCATGTGCCAGACCCCATGCTACCCACTTTGCACCCTCGTTAACAACCGCTACATGTCACTTGGGGCACTTAGGCAGTGCCAGGGATGATGTTGGTGACTCAGACACCCACCCACTGCTCACAGTAACTCCACAAGTTCAGCACCCTTGTCAGTCCCACCCCATTTTACAGACGAGAAAACCAAGGCTGAGGGAGAGGTGAAGTAATCTGTCCGAGATTAAACAACAAGCAGGGGGCAGAGGAAGGACCAGATCCCAGGTCTGTGTCTGAATGCACAGTCCATGTTCCCAAGCCCTAGGCTGGCTGTTGACCCATAAAGAACCCAAGGTTGCCTTTCCTTACTGCTGTCTGGTATGTGACAGGATGTGAGGACAGCCTGGAGACTCAGAAATAGGTGTGAGTTCTACTCCCCCCAGTGCCAGCCAGGGGACTCCCAAAGGAACACCCTGGGAGCTTCCAGAGCTTCCAGCCTTCATGATGGATGTGTTCACCATGCGTCTTACCTTTCGGCACTGATGCTCCTCTCTAGCTGTCACATACCCAGCCACTAATGGAGCCCCAGCCCCTGGATCAAGCTGCTTCCCATGCCCAGAGTGTTCTGCCCTGACTCATGTTGTTAATGCCCAGTCGTCCTCTGGCCGCAGTACTAACATCACTTCCCTGACCCTGAGGCCAGGCCATGCCCCTGCTGTCAGGCCTCAGAGCCCCACGCCTCTCACTCCGAACACTTCCCACGTTGACCACTGTTTATGCATGTGTCTAGGGGGCCACACCCCTGTGCTACCCCCAGATAGAGGACAGGTACCTGGTCTGGGGACCTCACCTCTGTAATCCCAGCACAGGGTATAGCCCCAAGAAGGCACTTGGTAAAAGTGGTTGAGTGAATGGTAAAAAAATAAACCTGCGCCCTCACAACCCTTCTAGGGAACTACCTTTGAAGGCAACAACACCAGGCAGGGGAGGGACAGGGGCCTGGAGGCTGTGACCTCCCTTGGCTCCTGTGTGGTCTTACTAAGCACCATGTCTCACACAACAGCCCCTGGCACTGTCCCGTCCATACTTGCCTGCACCTGCTGTCTCTGTCCAGCACAGAAGCCCTGTGAGGCTGATGACGTGGCACAGCAGTGGAGAATGTGAGCAGTGGCCCAGCTTCTCGGCTGTGTGACCTTGGGCAAGTGCTTCACCCTCTCTGAGCCTCAGTTTCTTTAACTGCAAGTTGGTGATCCCACTCCATACCCTCAGAGGGCTGTTGTCACAACTGAATGCTTAGCACAGGGCCAGGCACAAGAGGATTTAGGGATTTAGGGATTCCTGACTTTGCTCTACAGACAAGAAGACAAGGCCAGATGATCATTTAGTGGTAGAATATGGTGGATTAATCCACTGTACCCCACATGCTGGGTTTGTGGCCAGATCATATGTTCTTGGATCTCATTAAATGATGGAGAAGCCAAAATTCCCTCTGCGTCACTCTGAATAAAAAGGGCAGAAATCGTCGTCTTTGTGGGGCAGGTTCTGGAATCAGGTGCAGCTTCCTTGAGGGCCTGCCAAGGGGTTTCAGTTACTCAGAGGTGGCTGTTTTGAGGCACTCTCACCTCTGAGAGTGCAGGGGGCCACCGGCACTCACTGGGATTGGGGACATACGGCCTGGGTGACACTTCCACTCTTTGGCTGGTGACCTCGTGTCTCGAGGCTTCCATAGCCCAGCGTGAGGGGCACACACAGAGCCGACAGGCGCTCAGGGAATGTTAGTCTGTCCTCTCATGCCCTTCTGCCCGCTGCAAGGACCCAGGGACGGAGGGAAGGGTCGGCTCCAGTCTGCATTCAAATGGCTCTGGCTGACTAGACAGAGGCACCGAATACATCTGAAGCTCCACTAAGATGATTATCAATACGTGGAATTCCCATTCGCTCAGCTAAAAACCCACATCCTCTGGAAAACCATAGGTGACTCACAATCCCTCCTTCTCTTTAACTCTTGGTTAGAAAATTCCTTTCCTTTCTGACTCTTTGGGGGAGACAAATGTGTCCCCAAGCACAGAAGCCGCTGTTCTCAAAAGCCCAGGGTGGGAGGGGACATTCACTCAGGGAACAGAGGTGACTTGGTGGGCTCAGGTCCAGCTTCCCTCATCCCCAGGCACAAGAAGAGAGGGAACTTCACCTTGGCTGCAAAGGGGATCTAAAAACATGGGAAATTACACTGAAAGTGGCAAGAGAGAAACACAGGGCAAGAGGGAGTCCCAAGGGAGAGCAGGTCAGTTCTTGGGACAGGGGTGTCACGCAGGGTCTGAGAAGTACAGAAATGCCCATGGCTTTGCCCCAGATCAGGCCTCTCAGAAAGGAGGCAGGAAGAGGTGTGCGGGAACTAGGAGTTGGCAGTCATGGCCTCCGACTATGCCCCCCTCCTCTCCTGTCTTGTGTGTGACCTTGACCAAGGGTCTCAGTTTTCCCATCTCCCAAAAGGGATTCTCCTAAGAGACACTCGACTAGTGCTACCAGACTGGCCAAATAAAAAGACAGGATACCCAGTTAAATTTGAATGTCAGATAAACAACGAGTGACAGTTCAATATAAATGTGTTCTAAATATCGCCTCTGACAGCCACCCTCAACAGGGCATCTTATATTGTGTCTGGCAACCCCAACCATGGAATGCACAGGCAAGCACAGGTGGGAATGAGCTGCATCCCCCCGGAGAGCCAAGGGCTAGATGCTTACCAAGTCTCCAAAATCTGTGTTTACTCAGCCAAGTAATATTCTTGTCCCTCTCAGGACCCAACCTAGTGGATGTCAGAACAATGACAAGTAGGAATATGTGCCAAGGATGACAGCCAGGATATGTAAACATCCCTTTGGAAAAGGTTTGGGGACAGGGATTGTTTAGCCTGAAGAAGAAGCCTTGGGAAGCACAGACAAAGACCATCTTTACACCTCAAATAGCCTCTCCCAGGGACAGAGAGGACAACTTGGGCTCAATCTCCATGAAAACACTGAACAATGAGAGCTCTGTGGAATGGACCAGGCTCCCAAGGAGGGAGGGCGTTTCCAACACCAGAGGTGTTCAAGTTGGAGCGTAATGACCACATGACCAAGATGCTCCAGAGGGGATTTCTGTTGGGCTTAGAGAGGGTTGGACTCAGAAGACTTCTTCAGAGTCCTCTAACTCTCATGGCAGATATTTCTTTTTCCAAAGCATTTGGGTCAACACCTTGTGCCAAAGAAGGTGCTCAGCAAAGTCCTGTTGAATGGACAGCAGGGGTGACAAATTTATGACTCATGTGTTGACACTTCCTCATCCCCAGCCAAGGCAGACATCTCTAATCAATTGCAGAACGCTCTCCCACTAAGTCCCTATGTGACTGTGACTGTGAAATCTTTCTCAATTCAGCAATCCAGGGAGCAGCTACCAGGCATAAAATACCGTATGTGTGTATGTGTAATATAATTAAACAAAAAAAGCTATTATTATTATAACAACCAATACTTCTTTAGTACTTACTATATACCAGGCACTTTATGCCTATTAGTTTAGTCAAATCCTCACAACAACCTTCTAACTTTGCTACTAATGTTATACCCATTTTATAGATTAAGAAATCGAGGTATAGGGAAGTTTAAAAATGTGCTCAGAATTGTAAATAAATAAGTGGTAGAGCTAGGATTTGAACTAGGCGGTCTGATTCTAGAAACTGCCCTCTTAGCCACTGGACTGGAATGGGCCATGTGGTTCTGTGGTCCCAATACGAGTGAATTCAGTGATGCCATTTTACAGAGGGGGTCCCCGAGGCTCAGGGACCTAAGGCCATTCCTGAAGCTCACAGAGCCAGAGGGCAGCAAGGCCATGATTCAGATACAGATTGCTCTAACCCTCTACCTACCCCCATACCTGGGCAGGAGCAGAATGTCGTGGGGAACTTCCAGGCCATCTTCCCAGAACTGGCCTCCCCTGAGCAATGGGGCCCCGTGGCCCCCTCTGGGCCCTTCTCCAGCCTCTCTCTGAACAGAATTTCTTGGCATAGTTGCTGTGCTAAAGCTGGCAGCCCATTTGTCAAGCTGGGGAACAGGCTATGAGTGTCCCCCCCTTGGCCCCCCAGACTCAAACCCCAAAAGGAATGCCCCTGAGGACAGAGCAGAAGGAGCATCAGATTATAGGGAACACTCCTAGAGTCATTTCCCGGGCTCTGGCCTCTCACTGGTCCTTGGGGCGGGGCCCAAGGTCAAGACTCACTCCCTGAAGGCCCTGATTTTTGATAATAATAAAATCAGGGGGGCCTGAGTTTGGTTAATAGAACGGCTGCCCAAGGCCTACTCAACCTGGATGGAGTCAGAGGTCAGATCCCCTCCCATCTCCCTGTGTTCAGGCTTCCCTCAGTCCTAGGCATTTCAGGAAGTAATAACAATAACTAACATAACAGCCATTCCTAGCTATTGGGTGCCAGATTCCATGTGAAGGATTACAGGTGTGATGCCTCATGGATCCTCACAACCACACCAGAATGATTCTACTATTCTCTCTATTTTACAGATGAGGAAACTAAGGCTCAGAGAGGGTAAGTGACTTGGCCCAGGTCACCCAGCCAGAATGTGGCAGAGTTGTGACTTGAGCCCAGGCGCTTTGGCTCCCAAGTCTATGCTTTGAGGAAAAGGGTGAAGAACACTGCCCTATGTGGCCCAGAGGCCCAGCTCCTCTGCCAGCCACTTCCTGCCTCTGGATCTGAAGCCCTCATCTGTCAAATGGACATGCCATTAGCTGCCCAGACCTACTTGGAGAGCAATGGCCAGGCAGCAGGTAAGAAGGCATTTTGCCAATTTCATGTGCTAAATGCCCATCCCATTTCACTAATGAGCAACCAGGCTCAGAGAAGGTAGGTGACTCACCTGAGGTCACACAGCAGGGCTATTCTCCCTCAGCCCCCTGCTAGGTTGGTCTGTCCTGCATCTCCAGCCTCTCCTGGGGTTTGCGGGAAGGGCCTTTTCAACCTCCCCTGAAGGACCTGCAGCTTATTCCCCACACCCTGGCTCCACATTGCCTGTCTCTCCACTCCCTTCCCTTCCCTCCAGAAATCAGTGCACTTACAATGAGGCCGGGGACTCCAGGGGGCCCTGGCAGGCCCAGTTCTCCCTGCAAGAGAGAGATCAAGGTGGTTACTTGTCCCATCTCCCTCCAGGGCCCCTCCCCCCATGATGTCCTCCACAAAGGCACCTGGCAGGGTCTTCAGAGCTGGCCACTCCTTGCTCCTGACCACGGGTGCCAGTGACACGACTGAACCTGGCCTGGAATTTGGACAAGACCCTGCCCCTCTCTGCCATCAGCTCTCCACATCTGTGGAATGAAGAGGCTGGGCTTCCAAGTCCAGTGTCATTCCCTTGCAAGTATGAAAGAACAGGCAGAATCCCGACAATGGAAGTGAGTCCCAGTCACGGCATAGTTGCATTTCACTCCGTTCTACAGATGGGAAAGCTGAGTTCCAGAGGCTGAGTGAGTTGCCCAAGGTCAGGTGCGAGGAAATAAAGCGATGAGGCTCCTGAGAACCACCAGGCCAGCCATCCTCCTCTCAGCCAGGAGGTGTGGGAGTCCTTGGAGAATCCTCCCCAGCACCCCACAGGTTTCAGGGTTTCAGGGCCCTTGAGAAGCTGGAAAGAACTCTTGCCTGGGACTCAAAAAATGGGAATATGTGTGTGATGTATCCTCCCTACACCTCAGTTTCCTCATCTTAAAAAATGGATCTTCCATGGCTCACACCAGAAAAGACAGGTGGAGATGTCTGGATCAAGTTCAAAATGGAAAGGAGGGCATAACAATCAAGAGCTCTAGAAATCATGATTATCAGCGAGAACTGCCAGCATCCTCCTTGGTGCAATCCTGGAGCTGTCATCACTGTAGATGCTGCGAAGAAGACAAGCCCATAAGAGGCAGCTTTGGCTTTAAATAGGGAAACTGAGGCACAGCAAGGCGAAGAGACTTGTCCAAGATCACTGGGCAACTCTGTGGCAGAGCTGAGGCCAGATATCCTTGTTCTGCTGCTTTGGGCCATGAGCATAAAGACTTCCCTGCTACTCCCCAGGGAAACTTCCAGAATGATCTCACATATTGTAGCAGTTGACCCAATAAGTGATGCATTGATGAAGAGGTTCTGCTTCCCCTTCCACACCTTTGTCAGTGCTCCTTCCTCCACCCGGGTGTCTCCTCACCTATTTCCTTATCCTAATCCAATGGGGCCTTCTCTGTTCCCTTTTCCATGACACTGGGGTCTCTTTGATCCCACCCGTCCTCTTGTGTGACAGACAGAGGCGGTGGCCCATGAGCTCCCCAAGGCCCGGAACTGTGCCTGTCATTCACATAATCCTACCTACTGAACCCGCGTGGGGGGCTCAACACCTTGTTTGGCTTCACCTCATTCTCACGAGAGGCCCCTGATGCTGGCATCCCAATGCCCCCCATTTACAGATAAGGAAATTGAGATTCAGAGAGGTGAACAGATTTACCCACGCTCATACGCCCGACAAGCAGTGCAGTAGGATTCAAACCCAGGTCTGTCTGATTCTGAAGTTAAAGCGTCAACCCCCAAGGAAGGCTAGCTGGGTCAGGCTCGGGAGCCTTAGTGGGAGTAAATGAGCACACAATGAGGCGCTGATGACGGCCCCAGCAGCCGCCCCTGCGGAGGGCCTGGGCCTGGAGCCGGGGACAGATGGGAAGGCAGCCTTGGCTCCCCAGGGCAGGCTGACCTGGCTCCTCCACGGGGCAGAGCCTGGGCCTCTGATTATTTACACACTCTATAAACATGCCTGTAGTGGAGATGCTTGTGGAACTCAGCTCTCCTTTCTCTCCAAACAGGGCCTGCAGCCCATCTGCTTTTCCCGGCCTCTGCTGGGGCCTATAAATGTGTCTGACACTTTGTAACATGGCGGCAGAGGGGGCCTTTCAGTGGGTAGTGACCCGTGAACTTTCCCAAGTCCTGGGGATGGGGTGCAGTCTGGAGTTTTGGACTCAGTGGGCTGGGGACACTCGTGAGGGGTCACAGGGCATCCACAGTAGACAGTAGCCTAGAGTTCAGAGAGGTCATTGGAATCTGTCCAACGACACCCAACTAGCAGGCTGCAGGGCTGGGATTCAGCCCAGGTCTGTCTGACCCCAAGCTTGGGCTCCTATTTCCTGCTGTGTGTTCGCGCTGAATCCCTCACCCAATCCCAAAGATGTGACATACTTACAGGGTTTCCGTCCAGTCCCGGAGGGCCTCTTTCCCCAAAGACTCCAGGAAACCCCTGGAGGGCATGAGAGAGAACAGACATCTGTGGGTTAGCATCTATACCTGCAAGGTGGGCTGGATCCAGCCCCCTCAGGGGGGACACAAGGACAATGTCCAAGCAGTCTCACTCCTTGGTCCTGGGCAGACAGTGGGGACCTGAGGTCGTCCTCTGCTACCAACGAACACCCGCACATAAAGGATTCTCGGGGACAGGCTAGATGGAGGCGCCATGGCCAGGGAGCCCTTGTCTTTCCTACTGAGTCTCTGAAAAGAACACAGCACCCAGTTCCCCAGCGTAAGGATACCAGTCTCCCAGTCTGGGACCTGGTCCCGATGGACTGGGAAGGACACAGATTAGGGGTCCAGAAGTTGGGTCTAGGCCAGTTTTCAGAGCATCCTTCTCCACCATAGGCTTCAGTTTCCCCACTGTTCCCAGAGGGGAAAGCCTCTGTGGCATTTTCCAGGTCAGACTTTCTCTGGTGCTGACACGCTCTTCAAAAGTCACCCTGTAGAATCCTGATCCCCATTTTATAGATAAAGGAAATGGGGCTGAGAAAGAAGAAGTAGCAAGGCCACACAAGGTCATGCCACCAGTGAACACCAGCGTGACCTCCACAGGTGTTTCAGCAGCTTAGAGAGAAGCTGGGCCGCTTGGCCCAGGCAGGTTTAGCCCTCTCGCCCCCTCTCTGACCCCACTCAGGAGGCCACTCCATGCTCTCTGGGGAGACAGGCAGCTGGAAAAACATCAGCTGTGGGGACGCCTGGGGGGGGGCTCCACTCCTACTTCAAAAGGAAAAGCAAGTCTTCGAGCTTGGATTGTGGGGAAACCTGTTCTCCTCCCTCCTTGAATTCTAATCATTGTTTTTCCAGGGAAATGTAATAAAAAGCAGAGCACATGCTTTCCTGAAGGAGTGAATGCCTGAGCCGCTCAAACAGTAAAGATTCCTCTTGGAGGATAATCGTGGTTTTGGTTTCTAATACCACAGGGAGAATCCAGCAAGTACATTAAATCAAAAAGACCAAACCGTAAAACAAAACCCAAACCAAAGTCTCTACTGGCTGAGCAAAGAGATCCTGAAGTGTATATCCAGGCCTTTAGCCTTGCCTTGCCCTGCCCAGCAATCCTGCTTCCTTCCGTCCCACTTCCCTCATCTGTCAGGAAGCCCTCATGGGTTGACATTCACCCCTACAGAAGGCATGGCTTCATTCAGCCACCAAAAGGAGGCAATGAGGACAAAATAATGAAATTGGACTCAGAGTGACTCATGCCGATCACTCTGCATGCACAGCTTCACTTGTGTTTTGCTATCCACCATTGAGGGAAAGGTCCCGTGTCCCATTTAACAGATTGGGAAATTAAGGCTTAGGTAGGAAACATCACTTGGCCAAGGTCATAAAACAAGTCTGTGGCAGAGCTGAGCCCGGGGTCTGCCTCTCTGGACTTTGTTGTATGCATATGAGCTGTGCACGGGCAAAAAGGCTAGCATGCAGATGTAGGTGCAGAGGTGACGGGTGTTTGTGTGTGTGTGTGTGTGTGTGTGTGTGTGTGTGTGTGTGTGTGTGCACGTGCGCACACAGGATGATCTCCAGGTCATGCTCTATAGGGGCACATCTGACCCTCTCTCCTCATCTTTAGGGTCTCCCCTGGCAAATTCCAGTCTCACCCCAATCCAGTCCCTCTTTGTCATGCTGTAAGGTAGATCTGTCTCACCTTCTGGGATAGGAGACATCGGCCAGGTGGGCTGTGGCCAGGGGCACCTTGTAAAGGCATGGATCACCCACCTCTGGCCTTTGGAGGTTGGGGTGGGGGCCCTGGCAAGGGACAAGAGGGATGTTGTCCGGAGGGGCACCTGGATGACTCCACTTGGCCTATCGGGGCAGGACTTGGGAAGTCCCTGCTCTGTTCTCCAAGTCCAGCATCTGGAAATGGCCTGGAGATGTTTTCCAAGCTGTCTGTGTGCGGGCAGGCCCTCACACTTGGCCTCTGTGCTGCTCAGTTGGGGGGCGTGGTCGCTAAGCACCCCTTCAGCTAGGCCCAACCCCTAGCAAGGCCTGGGAGCAAGGAGACTCCTCCTCTGTGCACAGGAATGCCACCAGCCAGACCAGGTGGAGACCCTGCCAACACAACTCTCACCCCTCTAGGCACCCATCCTGGTGCAATGCCCATATGTTCACACCCAGAGCCGCCAGGGAGACCTCAAGCCGATGAGTCTGCATTCAGGGGCTACTCCAAACTGCCTCCCAGACTCCTCTCAGGCCTAGCTGCTGAGTCAGCTTCCCTGGGCCAGTCCAGGCTGCATCACTATGGGCCTCTTGAAGTCTCAGTTTCCCCTGCTGTCCAATAGGAAGTCCTGTGGCATGAGCTGATATGAAGGTGAGCCCTTGCCAACATGGGATAGGCTGCAGCCACTTGAGAGCAAGGGAGAAACTGTAAGCAGAAATTCAAGTCAAAAATCCCAAAAGGAGTCGTATCAGCAGACAGAATGCAGATCGAGTATAACCAGAGGGCAACGGTGGTGGGTAAAACAATGGCAGGAACTGCAAACCCCAACAGTATGACCTCCCCACAGCCCCATGAGATAGGTCCTGTTATACCCTTTTTAGAGATGGGGAAACTGTGATCCAGAGAGGTCAGGAAATGTGTCCAAAGTCCATAGCACTCTGGAAGAGTAGAGCTGGGGTTTGACCCGGGCTGTCTGAATCCAGAACCCATTCTCTCTTAGCCAATACCCAACAACGCACAGACAGAACAGGTCACAGCCAGCCTGGAGGCGCTCAGAGGGCTCAACAGGGCCCCAGGCAAATGCGCTAACCGGCCTGGCTGATGTGAGGACCGGGTCTGCTTGGACACACTGGGGGCCTCAGGGACCCAGACCCTGTCTCCATCCTCAGTCTCCCTCCCTAGAGGGCAGGCAGATGACCTTGGGAATCTGGAGTTCATAATTAAGAGCACAAGGGTTGGAAAGAAGAAAAAACTTTACAAGTGCTGGAGCGAGTTTTTGGCTGGAACAAGCACAGATGGTCTGAAATGGAAGGGCCCTGGACATGCAGCCAGGGCACGCCCGAGCCCCATCATCCCACCAACTCTCCTCACCCTTCACTACCGAGAGAACAGCAGAGCCATTTCCATAAGCCACTCCAGGGCCCCAATGCTTGACCCTCTGGCATTCAGAGAGGCACCACTGAGCTGGACATGCGGCCCCGACATCGGCTCTGTCTGCCTTGCTTGGCCCGGCCATCCTGCTTGTGCTCAGGACCCCATGGCAGGCACCTCCGCCCAGCCGGCAGCAGGGACCTTCCTCCGCATGCCCGAGCTCCTGGCTGCAGCAGGCTGGCCCCAGGCCCAAGGAATGAACTCCGCTCCCCGCCGGGCCCCAGCCACGTGGTTTCTCCACTTCCCCAGGTCGGGCCCCTCTGGGGAACTGAACGCCTCGTACTCTGAGCAGACAAGGCCCAGGAGGAGACAGAACAAGGCTGGGGGCAAGACTCCACATCCTCTCTTGGCTGCAACAGCTCAGAGGAGCAGAGGTAAGGACAGGGACTCCTCGTCACCTCATCCAAAGCAGGAGGCGGAGGGCCGGGGAGACCTCCAAAAGCCTCCCCTCCTCCGAGCAGGGTCCACACCAGCTGACTGCTCCTGAAGGCACGACACGGGCAGTGTGGTGAGAAACATATGGAATCAGAAGTTCTGCCAGTGCCTTGAAGGTTCAGCTCCCCAGGCTGCAAACGGTCAGCCCTGCCCCACTCACCTGGCAGGCTGGGCTCAAGAAGAGGCGAGATGCCTCTAACCCCGGCCCCTGGTGTACTCCAGTGTGCCATCATGATGCTACTTAGTGAGGATATTTAATAACCTCTAGCGGGAGTCTGCAGAAGGACCTTAGCTCTTTACAAGGTGTCAGTTCTCTGAAGTCTGGAAGTTCCTTCACAAGTCTAATCTGCATCCTTACTACTGTACATGAAGCAGCCCATATTCTTTTCTAGGAGTGTGTCTTCCAAGCATGCTGACATGGAAAGACCCCTGAGGTCCCCCAGCACCCTTCTCTCATGGGGCTGAATATGTCTTTACCCTTGCCTTTGCAATCCACTAGGAAATCTACCTGAGGAAAGTTACCCCCGGGAGAAAGAAGGAGACAGATAGGCAGAGTTCCCACCAGGATTCCAGGTTCCCACCAGCCCCAGGCCAGTACTGGCTCATGCCTGGGATGCTGAAGACACACCTCCAGCTCACCACATCACCACAGCTAAGAACTTTAACCTGTTTTGGGCTCAGTTTCCTCACTTGGAAATATGAGTTCTCTATAACTTGGCTCTCTGCTCCCCATACTCTAGGACTAGAAAGGGCCCTGAGCTTGAAGCCAAAAGGCACCATGTTAGAAACCCAGGCTGTGTGGCCTCGGGCAAGTTCCAGTCACCCCAAGCCACACACCAAGGCAGTGGAGCCTGGGCGGGGCCCTTCCAGCTCCAAGTTTCAGGGTCCTTCCCTGACTCACAACATGAGGCTAGTGTGGCAGCTTGGCCAGGGCCACCTGAAGCTGTGGGTGGCAATGGCCTGGCAGGGCATGGCTGCAGGAAATGGTGAGTTCAAGAAGATTCGTAGTAGCACCTTACAGCCCCCGTGAAAGATCCTTGGCTGGGGGCACAGTGCAGCTTCCCACAGAGTCACATTAAGCTGTGCCCTGAACAAGACAGGCCAGATCAGAAGAAAGCCATGCAGCCTCAGCCAAGTAGGTAATACCTCATATCATCTGACCCCTCCTCAGAAAACCACAGTTCATTATCTTTCTAGCAGGAGGTGTAAGGAGGGAGCAGAGTTGTAGATAAAGCTTTCCTAGGAGGGTTGAAGACATGAGCAGAGAGAAGGCAGGGAGATGTGGAGAGCCCCCTGTACTAGCAAGCAAAGGTCCCAGGCTCAAGTCCTGACTCCGCCATCGACTTGCTATGTGAATTGCCCACCCCGAACTGAGTCTGCTTATCTGTACAAAAAAGAGGTTGGGCCAGGTCACCACTAAGGTTCCTACAGCTCCGAGGTGCTTTGACCACCTCTGTCTCTTCCTCAGCTCCCATCAGCAAAAAGTTCACACATCCTCCTTCCGAATCAGACACTGAGGAGGCCACAGGCGTGGGCCCAAGGTTCTGCCTGCTGAGAAAAGGCAGATTATGGCAAAATCAGCAGCAGTCCTGCCTGAAGCAAGACCAGCTGTGAGCCGGCACAAAAGGGGTCGTCATCCTCCTGACACTGCCTCCTTCTCAGTCTGTGCCTAGAAATCACCTGGCCCAAGCTTGAACAAGGAAGAAAACTCTTCAGGGAAGGAGCCCCCAACCCCACCAGGGAGATCAAGGGATTAGGAGCACCGGAGACAGCGGGAGAGCCCTGAGGACCACCCAGGGAGTGTGTGGGCTGAGAGGCACAGGGGACTCAGAGGCCGGGCCTCAGCTGATATGAAGTTCTATTATACAAATTAAGTCATAGCTGATGCAAACCTTGCTGATTTGCTGGCCATGGTGGCTGGAACAGAGTCAAGGGTATTTTAATGGCTCTCAAGGGTATTGCGTGGGCACAGGGCTGTTTGGCTGAAGAGGGTGATTACTCCCACCCACGTCTGACACCCCCATGCCCGGGAATATCCCTGCTGTGGAGGTCAGGGCTGAGTCTTAGGAGGTTAGAGGCAAGGAGCAAGAAAGTTGTCAGTTATGCGGATTCAAGTCTGGCAAGGTCTCAGAGGGTCTCTGGACACATGGCTTTGACAGTCTAAGTCTCAGTTTTCTCATCTGGAAAATGGGGATAATCAATCTCGACCAAATCACATGGAGTTCAAATGCCATGCACACAGAGGGCCTCAATACATGTTGCTTCCTGTCACCTAAGGAGGACTCGGGGTCACGACCATACTCTCTTTTGGTTATTATCCTGTCTAAGGACTGCCCCAACCTTTAACATTTGAGCTCCAAGCCAACAGAGATCTCTGACTGTTTTGGTTATGGTATTATCCTGAGCATCTGGCATACAGTAGGTGCTCAGTAAACTTTAGTTGTATGAGTACTGAGTGAGAGGCCTCATCTCTCACAGGTAGGATAATGGTACCCAGCACCGTAGATGGGGTGTCACCTTCTTGGCCAGGCCCTGAGCACCATGACTCTCAGCTCCAAGAAGAACATAAGCACACAGCAGGGAGAGGGAGGATGGATGAGTTGCTGGGAGGGAGGCGGGGAAGATGAAGAGGAGGTGGAAGGGGAAACTGAGGCATGGCCCTGCTGATATTCCTTGTTGTGTCAGGGTGGAGAAGAAGCCGTGAGATGCCCAGGGTTTCACAAGTCTTGCCTCTTCTATGCTCAGGGAACTCTGGACCCCATGTTCTCAACAGCTCCACTCTGGGGCCACAGTTGAACCCTGTGTGGTCTGAGCCTCAATCGCCTCGTCATCTGTCAATGTCTGGCCCTCAGTGAGGCTCCCAGGAGGGAGTCTGAACAAATCCCCAAGGGTAGCCCTGGAGGCGGGCTTGGATGACAGGCAGGGCCCAACTGAGATCATCTAAGTAAGCGGACTGCCCCTACTCTGCAACTTAAACTGAGGGAAACCAGACCCAGTCATCGACTCAAGGTCACCCACACAGCGAGCTCCTGGGCCATCCAGGAAACTACAAAAAGGAAAGACCGCTACTATTTACTAAGCATGTTCCACGTGATGAGCACAATGATCCCACAAGCTAGACACTATTGCCCTCATTTCTCAGACAAGAGAACTGCAGTTCAGAAAGTTTGAACCAAGCATGCTCCTGCCCCAGAGCCTTTGCACCTGCTATTACCACCACCTGGAAGGTTCCTCCCTGGAAAGCTACACGGTTCCCATGGTCACCTCATTCAGATTCCTCATGGAGCAAGGAGGACTTTCCAGCCTAACTTATCCAAGCGCCCACACTCCCCCACCAACTCTCTCTTAGCGTTCAGCATGATCTGACGGTCATTTATTCATTCATTCTTCCGTGTCCTCATTCTGTGATTGTCTGTCTGTCTGTCTGCCCCGAGAGAGTGGAGACTGTGTCTTATTCCCCATGCCTGGCCTCCAGTAGGCACTCAGCAGGCAGCCACTGAGTGCATCCACCTCCTCACCGAAGGTCACCAAGCTCCAGGGGCAGACCCAGGCGTAGCCCAGCCCTCTCAGGCTCCAGGTCTTGTCCTGAAGCCGGGAGCATCGGGTGTGCTCCTTGGCCACATACAGGTGAGTGGCTGTCAGGTTGCAGGGAGGTCGAGGTCAGAGGGCACGGACCCCCTCTGTCAGCTCCTTGAAGCCCAGGCCTGGGTCTTGCTTTTCTTGGTTTCCCTCCTCGGCCTCCAGAGGGCCCAGCTCAACAAGCTGCAACAAGCACCATGCCCATCAACCACAGAGTCATAGACGGCCCTCTGAGTACCCATGGGTGCTCCAGGCTCCCCTCCAGCTACCTCTCTAGTTCTAACCTCCCCGCGGATCCGCCTCCACTAAATACAAACAACGGGAGGCCCAGACTCCGGCTGACCACGGTTCCAGCTCCTTGACCTGCAGGGCAGCGTCTGAGAACCTTAAGAAACACCTCAGCTACAGCCAGGCAGAGGGATCCTGGACATGTCACTCTGCCTCTCAGAGCCTCAGTTTCCTCTTCTGAGTAATAGGATCACCGGAATGAAAGACCTCCTTTCCAGGAAAAGATTCTGGAGAATCTGCTTTTACAAATCTACCACCAACTAGGGACCCTGAGAGGCTGCCTCAAGCCACCACTGAAAACAAAGACTCAAAGTCCTGGTCCCATTGTTTACTCATCCTGAAACCTCATGTAAGTGACTTAGTCTCTCCATGCCTTAGCTTTTTCTTCAGGCCCTGCAAGGTATACAGGCAAGAGCAAAACAATCTACCACCATGGGGGAGAGTCACAGATAGAGCAGGTGACGCAGGCGTCCCCGCCAAGCTCCTCTTGGGCCCGTGCCTGCTTTGGGTCCACCCACACACCCCACGTCCTCTGACACTGTGTGTATACAAGCGGAACTGGACAGAGCTAGTGACACCAAGACTACGTGGAGATGGAGTGTTCTCTGAGTGGGGAGCGGAGCCGTCTGGCTGGGGTCCCCCTGTCCAAGCAGACCCACAAACACAAATACCCTAGACAGGAGCTCCCCAGACACAGAGATGCACAGAAGCCCCAGCCCCAGCCAGGCCGCAGCCACTCAGCATCCTGGCAGCAGCCCTTGCGGCCCAGAGAGCCCCGCGTGCCAGCCCCACACTCAAAGCAGAGCCATGGCCGAGCAAGGAGAAGCAGAAGATGCCAAGCCACCGGTGGCCCAGGCAGCATGGCCGTGGAGGTGGGGTCCCCTTAGAGTCTGCATAATAGACACGGAAAATCTTTACCGGCATACCCATCTTGCCCCTCTTGCCAGGAACACCAGGCAGGCCCTGCAAGGAGAGAGAGGGGATTGGTCAGGGCAGGACGCCAGCAGGGACAGCCAGCCTTGCCCCACACCAGTCCCAGAGCCACCCAGGGCAGGCAGGAAGTTGCAGAAAGCCTGGAATGTGTTTCCTGTACATGGTGGTATCAGATACACACACATCAGATGGATGGCAAGGTTGGGTCTGCAGAGACCCACGCTGCGGAAATGCCTAAAGAAAACACCTGTATTCAGCAGGTGCTTAATACATACCCCAACTCTTGTTTTCCGAAGATTTTTTTTTTTTTTTGAGTTGGAGTCTCACTCAGTCGCCCAGACTGGAGTGCAGTGGCCGCTCCCGGCCACCGCAGCCTCGACCTGCTGGGCTCCGGCGATCCTTCAGCCTCAGCCTTCCAAGTAGCTGGAACTACAGGCGCGCGCTACCACGCCCGGCTAATTCTTGATTTATTGTAGAGATGAGGTCTCGCCAAGTTGCCCAGGCTAGCCAGCTTATGGATAAAGCTACAGTTGAGTTTCCAAATATGGGCTCAGGCTGAGAGGGGGTAGGGAGGAAGGTCCTGAGGTCACCAGCCTAGGGGCTTCTAATGGACACAAACAAGGTTAGGCCCGGGGTTTGTGAGAAGCTCCTGCCCCATCTCCTGAACTCCTCTGACTGAGACATTGGTCTGGAAGGACAGCATCCTAGGAAAGTTTAGCACACACTGTCTGCTGCCAAACCAGATCCATCACCTTCAGATGTCCCCCTCTCTTCAGGGACCTCAGGGTCCAAGCCAGAAGCCAGGCGCCCACCTCAGTCTTCCCTCCTTCTTCTGCTTCCATGCCCACCCCGGCTCCACTGCTTCCACCTGGGTACTGCACACCATCTTGCCCCTGCACTGCTGAACAGCTGCCACCTGGCCATCCTGTTTCTAGCCTCTTCCCAGCCCAGTTGCATTTTACCCCAGTAAACAGGCTGATCTGTCTAAAACAGGGTTCAGAGGGTTTCTAAAGAGGGACAGACACTGAAGACTCTTGGCGCCGCGGTTCATATGGTCTCCGTCATGCCTACTCATCTTTGTCAATGTTATGAGAAAGTAACTTCATAGGCAAAACAGACAACCGAGGCTGGGTGTGGTGACTCAAGCCTGCAATCTCAGCACTTTGGGAAGCCAAGGCAGGAGGACTGCTTGAGCCCAGAAGTTCAAGCCCAGCCTAGACAACATAGCAAGACCTCATCTCTACACAAATACAACAAAAAAAGAAAAGAAGAAAAAATTAGCCAGACATGGTGGCACATGCCTAAAGCCCCAGCTACTTGGGAGGCTGAGATGGAAGGAGCGCCTGAGCCCAGGAGTTTGAGGCTGCGGTGGGCCAGATCCTGCCACTGCACTCCAGCCCCGGCAACAGAGTGAGACCCTGACTTGAAACAAAACAAAACAAAAAACCAAAACAGACAACTAGCTGGATTTGGCCCACGGGCCACAGTTTGCAGACCATGCTTTCTAGACCACAAAGCGGGCCTGTATCTCATTTGCAGAAAGCCCTCAAGAGGCTCCCCAGACCCTCACAATAGAGCTCTTTTCCTGCCCTCGGGTCCTGAGCTCCTGTGTGACTTCGCCCTGGGGCCCCTTCCATTCTCAACTATCACCACTCACCCTCTCACCAACACTTTGGTGGTGTTGACTTTTAAACCCTCCAAGTTAACACACAGTCCTGATTTGCACATGCTGTTCCCTCTGCCTGGAACACATCTGCCTTGACTTGTCTTCATTTTTTTTGAGTCAGGGTCTCACTCTGTCGCCCAGGTTGGAGTGCAGTGGCACGCCACTCACGGCCACTGCAGCCTTGACCTTACCTTCCAGGCAATCCTTCCACTGCAGCCTTCCAAGTAGCTGGAACTACAGATGCATACTACCACCCCCAGCTTTTTTTTTTTATTTATTGTAGAGATGAGATCTCGCCATGTTGCTCAGGTTGGTCTTGAACCCCTGAGATCGATCAGGCAATCCTCTCGCCTTTGCCTCTCAAAGTGCTGGGATTACTGGTGTGAGCCACCGCTCAGCTGACTTTTCTTAGCAGACTCCTACTCAACTCAAGGGTCCCTCCAGGAGGGATTCTGTGAATTCCCCAGGCTGGTGCCTGACAGATTCTGCTTTGCCTGGACAGGGGGGTGGGTGGAGGGGTGAACAAACAAAGCTGCATACTTACTCGCTCTCCATCAGACCCTGGCAAGCCAAAGAGCCCTGGGAGTCCAATGTAGCCCTAGGAAAGAACAGAAGGAGGATGAGAGAGGTCGAGCATTGGGATGTGGCTGGCCCAACCCGTTCTGGGACCCCCACTGCTGCCACCCCGCACCCCGGCTCCTCTTCCTCGCAGGCAGCAGTGGCGGTTCGATGGCTCCTCGATGACATAGGCCTTGAGGCAAGTGTATATGCCCATGGACTGCATGGTGCTGGCTTCCACGATGTAGTCCAAAGGCACATACCCTCACGCCAGGGAAGGGCGCGGGCGCCCGCGGTGGGAGGCCTGCCCCATGCCAGGGGGCTCCGGGACCTGTGGAAGGAAGCTCTCAACTGGGTTAGATGCCAGGGCGGCCCCAAGTCCTGCCCACCCAAGGGATGCCCATGGGTGCCGGTGGTTCCTGTGACGGCTCCTCCCGGGCCTCGAAGGTCCCGGACATGGGGCTCACAGCCACCCCTGGCCGCCCGAGTGCCGGCATTAACAGCAGCTGCTGACATGGTGCCAGGCACGTGTGTGCTGCTGCACTAAGCCCTCACTGGACAGACAGGAAAACTGAGCTCTGGAGATAAAGCAACACAGAGCATCCATGGTGGAGCTGGGCGTTCCCTGGGCAAACTCCTCATCAGCTCAAGCGTGACCAGGTGCAGCTGACTCCAAAGCCCTGGCTCCAGACCACCCCAGCCTCTACCCTAGATGCAAGCGACTTCCACCCTCCCTATCTCCACTCATTCCGTCTCCTCCACCAGGGCTGCCCTGCATACCCTTTGTGACCACAGATCCAAATCCTTCCAAGACCAGCTGTATTGCAGGGGCCTGGGGCAAGCATCCTCGACACCAGAGCCAGAAGCAATGCCCCCTCCGATATTTGTGTCCCATGAGCAACATCTACCACTGTCTCCACTTCCTCCCCAGTATCTTCATTATTTACATCTAGGCTGCATATCGTCATTAGCCTGGAAACTTCTCAAGAGCAGGGGCCTAGCCCAGGGCTTCTCCTACTACCTGCACGCTCTGGATATCTAGCCATGGAATGGTTTAACAGGAACTATAACACAAGCTAATATCTACGGAGCACAAACTATGTGCCAGGCCCAGCCCTCAGCATTTTGCATGTGTTAAAGCATCTACTGCCTCCTGACCACACCCTGAGGAAGTAGGTTTTATTGTTTAGGCCCAGAAAGGTGAAGTGACTTGCCCAGGGTCACACAGCTGGAATGTGCTAGAACTGGCACTGGAATTCAAGTCGTCTGACTCTCAGTGGTCTGGCTCTTGGGCCCGGGCTCCTAACCACTCTGTTACACTGCCTCCTGCAAACACACAACCGATGGAGGCTCACAGCTGTCTTCCCGTCCTGGAAGGCCAAGAGGCCGCTGAACCTCCTCCTCAGCATCCAGACGATTCGTGTCGATCATCTTAAAGAGTGGCATGTACTGACCCTTCCAGGGAGGGCTCATATCCCAGATTTACAGGTGAGAAAATAGGCTCAGAGAGGCCCAGCGACTTGCCCAAGGCCCCCAGCTGGTTAACAGCAGAGCAAGTCATCATCTGGATGTCAAAGCCTGTTGCACTCTGCCTACTCCATAAATAAGAGGCCGGCAGTGGCAGGACTGAAGAGCAGTTTGAGGGGCCCCCAGCTCACCCAAGCTGCCCAGGGCCCTGCCCCCTGTGGGAGACAGGTGGGCTGAGGCCAGACAGGTCTCTTCCCCTGTGTGGCTTCAAGATGTCACCAGCTCAGCAAATCAAGCAGCCCCAGGTGTCATCAGCCTGCCCCGTCCTCCTGACAGATCGGGACCAGTGCTGGGCTGAGAAGACCCCTCTCCCTTGGGTGGCCCTAAGGGAGCCGACAGAGAGAGGAGGCCCTGCACCCCAGGACAGGAGCTTCCTCAGGCCCCAACTGGCACAATAACCTCCTGAGAAATGCACCCACCCGCCCCTCGCCCACCTCCGACAAGCCCCCAACAGCCTCTGGTCTGCTCAGGGATTAGGGTCCCAACTGCAGCCATCCTGACCTCTCCCTCCTGCCAGGGTATAAATAGCTTTGACTCAGGAGCAAAGAACACATCACGTGCGACCTGTCCGGACTGAGGACTGTGTGGCCCACGTGCTGAGCACTCCTCGAGAGACAGCAAGCCCAGGTCTCAGAACACCTGGGTCCTCATTTCAGTCCTGCCATGAACCCAGGTGCTTTGCAGAAGAGTGGATTCTGCCAGTCAGTTGTCAGTCTTTCTAACACCATTCACCCCCATTCGGTTCACCCAGAACCTTCTCTGCCTGGACTCCACAGCCCACATGGGAGCCCCCTGGGGGCCCCCTGCTCAGCAGCACTGGCTGTCAAATCCCTGGCACTCCCATAAGCAGGCTAGAGGTAGGAATAGGCGTCACTCTCACTGTAAAGATAGGTACATGAAGGTGGACAGCTACTCAGGGTTTGCTCCACGGGAGCGCTGAAGGCAGTGGAGACCTGGAAGCTCCACCAGCCTCCAGGCCTGGGCAGCATTCACCCACCAGGAACCAGTAACCTCCAAAAAGGACGGTCCCCCCAGCCCTCAGTTGAGAGCAGGAGGGAGGTCTCAGAAGACTTCGGTGACAGGTAAAGCAAGTGGCCCAGGCTTTGGATGCCTAGTCTCCAGTGGGATGTGCTGGAGGACACAGCAAGCAAATACTTAATTGTTTGCAGTTGGCTTGTGGCTGAACCCCCAGCAGTGTCTCTGCTGCCAACATGGGGACCAGACCGACTCAAGGGTCCCCTGCCACCCAGCCCTTCTGCTGCCCCTCTTTTCTCCAGGGTGCACTCAGCTGGGAAGGCCCTAGTCCCCCATGCCCGTCGCCGGGTGGAAGCCTTACAGCCCTGACCTCCCACCAAGCCCATCGGAGGCACAAGGGATGCCCATCCAGGGTCCCACCTGTATGGCACTGGCCAGGGACCACTTACCCTGCTGCCTTTGGGGCCGGGGTCTCCTACCGGTCCAGGTAACCCCTGAAACACAAACAACAGAGGGGCGAGGACATGTGGAGACCTGCTGCCACACCCAGGGCAAGGCCTGTCTCTTGGGGCCTCTGCTGCTCCCTTTGTAGAATGGGGGTGGGGTCAGACGAGTGGTCTTTAGCCTGGGCCCCCATGATCGGGGTCCCAGGGTCAGGGAAACTGAGTGGGAGGAGCCCCTGAAGCCCCGCCCTTGGGACCAGGACTCCTCTTAGCGAGCAGCAGTGTCCTGCTGCTGCCTGCCAGGAGAGGCTTCCTTGGTGCAGCCCCCTGGACAGCCCTTTCCTTAGGGCCCCAGTACACCACCTCCCTCAGCCCAGGGGCACCTGTGGCCACCTCCACATCACCATGGCCACAGAGCTTCCAGAGCCATATACTGCACCTGCCTGCCAGGGTAACCTTTGGCCCCTGGGCTGCCCTCAGGTCCCGGCTGCCCCTGCAAAGGAACAGAGAGAGATGTAAGGAGAGGAGAGACCCTGCCCAGCTCCGGGCCTGGAGGAAGAGGGGGACTGTGGCTGACAATGAACAAAGAGAAGGGGCAGGAATGTGAGATGAAACAGGAGGAGGGGGAGGGCCCCGGAGCCCACCCCTCTGTGGAACTGGTCAGACCAGCCCTGGGGGACAAAACCCCCTGTGCTTGTAGCCCAGGAATAAGAAATCATGAAGGAGGCCTGGCTGGTTCTCCCACACTGGCAGGCCTGCTGTTTGACTTGGGCCAGGCCGGCCAAAATTCCTGCAAACCCCGTGGCAGCGGGTATAATATCCCCTAACATCGCCCGGAACAGGCCAGCTATTCACGGCTCAGACCGAGTTGAGCGGCTCATGCCAACACCGGGTCAGTGTGGACTCTGGCTCCTTCAGGCAGATGTGGCTGGGGGAGAGGTGGGGTGGGCTGTGGCGGGGGAGGGCCTGGCAGGACAGGAGGCAGAACAGCCTGGCTCTGGGGCTTGCTTACAGAGTGGGATCCGGGGAGGAGGCCAGCGTCAGGGGGGGCTGGAAGGAGGGAGGACAGGCAGGGTGGGGCTGAGGCTGAGGCCCTCACCTGTTCTCCGGGATGCCCTGCGGGTCCAGGATAGCCCTTGTATCCCTGTGGGGGGGAAGAACCCGCATCAGGCAGGGAGGACACATCCGGGCCCGCAGATCACAGGGGCCCAGCCTCCCTGGTCAGCACTGTGTGTGCTACGTCAGGGATACGGTGCGTTCCCACATGGACACAGACACCACGTGAGGGTGAGCAGGCTCTGGTCAACAATGTCATCTTTGCTCCTGGTAGCTCCTAGGCCAGGAGACATCTGGGGAATCGTTCACTCCTTTGGCAGAGTATGTCAGCTGAACTGCCAAAGCAACCATGGCCAAGTGGCACTGGGTCCCAACCATTCCTTCTGAATCAAGCGAGAAGGTGATACCATCTCTTAGGGAATTTGTCAGTGGCGGGTGGACCATGTAGGACCCAAGGCCTTGGATATGCTCAACCCCCATGCGTACTGGGATTCCCTCCCCTGTCGGGACCTGCCCCTTCTCTGAAAGCCCCAATCAGACACATTGACCACAGATATTACAAAATACCTACCTCCCTTCTCCCACCGGCCCCAGATCCTACCTATTCCAGGAAGAAAGAAACCACCCAAATGCTGACTGAGAAGGACTCGGACAACACCTGTATACCAGCCTTGACCCTCTGCCCCCATGGCCCAGTGTCCACAATCTAAGACATGGCCATTGGGCCAGGTCTCTAGGTCTAGAGATTCGAGCCGAGTGTGTGCTTCCAGGCGGCACCGGGGACAGCCACCTGAGCCACTTCATAAGCATTAGGAGGTCTCCAAGGGAAAGCCCCAACTTCAAGCTTCCATCAGCTTAGGGTTGTTGTGAAACCAGGACCGCAGCAGGCAGAGTACCACATCCATCCCCACAGATGCCCTTACAAAGGGAGCTCTGGGCTTGGTTTAGACGCTCCCTGACTTACTGTGCAACTTTGGGTGGGTTACTGTCCTTCTCAGGACCTCAGATGGAGGAGTCAGAACTCTGAGTCCTCTTCAGTTCTCATGTCTTAGAGCCCTAGAGTTCAAAGACTTCCCCACTCTAAAATATGTACTCTAAAATAAAACTCGAGATACACTCTGAGTCTCTAGAATACACACACACACGTGCGTGTGTGCATGCCTGGAGATCCTCTCTAAGCGCTGCTATTTGCCCTAGGACAACGTGGTTAGCAGATGACTTCACCTAGCCCTACGACAGCCAGATGGGAGAAGTGGGGGGATAATCATCTCCATTTGTAGAGGAGAAACTGAGTCTCGGAAGCCATCTGCCCCGAGTCCCACTGCAGCAGATCTGCTCGTTACCAGATCCTTCTGATACCTGAGGTCAACCGAGAAACTGCAAACATCACAGGCACAGACAGCTTGTTGCACACACAGTCAGCACCCACCCCCTCAACTCCCGCCTCCCCTACCCCCGAC